TTTGCTAATGTGATGGAGGTTGAATTGCATATCTTACTCTCCTGTGACTGAACAAGCGCATGTACAAAGTGGATGTGTACGTGTAATTAATTCAAGCCAATAGGTGTTAAACTGCACTAATAAGTTGCAATGATATACCAATTTAGTTAGAGATGTGCAACCTCTTTTACTGCATCGGCAAGACAGCATAGGAAAGTTTGCATTAATGTTGCTCAGGTTTTATCAATTCTGAGAATAGGAAACTTCATTTTCCAGGATTGTCAAGCCAATACCTTTACATGAGCACTGATTAATTTTACAAATACATATAGATGTAGTACAGCAAAGGGAAAAATAAAGCATGCAAAGTCCATTTATCAGAAAGAATGAATGACCATAGAAAAGGCTGGAGGCTCAGGTACCAATCACTTGAATCAATACCTGCACAAGGTTTTACAGAGAAATAAAAAACAAGCAATTCTGGGTGCCCACCTTGCCACTTGAAGATATTGAGCACCATCTTCTGAAAACCAGACACCTTTGAAGTGTCAAGCTCCGCACCCAAAATCACTTGTCTGGTCCAACATTCTTTGGGCCCCAAAGAATTTACAAACTAGGGCCCCAATCTTGAAAACTGCACCATGCAAGCAAATCCTTCAACCTGCATGAATCTCCTGAAAACAATAGGAATTTGCATGGACACAAACATCCATCTGCATAAAACCACTTCCAGGATTGGGACCCAAGGTTGCGCACAGTATCATGTTATATCCAAACAGAAGGGCAGGGAAAAGGCAGCTTACAAGAAGACAACCACATGTCTACTTCAGTTTTTCTGTGTGCTCCTTGAGATTTTTTAGTTTGTGGTTTTCTCTAAGTATTTTAGTTGCTTAAAAACAATCTGTTTATAATTTGTGTGCGCGCGCATTTGGGCCTATTGAAGAAAGGAAAGTGAAATGAGGGAAAGAAGAGATGTCATTGGAGCAAAACAGAGATGGAAGCGAATAAGAGATTAAAACAGGATGCAAGGGCAAATGAGGGAGGGGAAAGCATGACAGGGAAGCAGGTCAGAAAGATAGTTGGACAGCAATGAAAGCAAACTATAACAGTCAAGATGAAAAAAAATTGTTTTAGAGAATGTCAGAAAATATATTGCTCTTTTGGAAAGGGAGCAAAAGAGAATCAGTGGGAAGAAAGCCTGTTCCAGATAATGGGGTAGTATGTACAAAATGAGGAGGAAAGAAAAAGGAATCGGGTACTATAGCACATGAAAAGGAACGTATGAAGTCATGGGGATGAGGGACAAATATCCACATTAAAGTGACCTAGGTTCCCAGGAATAAGCTACCAAAACTACAAAAAACCTCTCACCCCCCGTTTCCCTTCAACTGGGGTATAGCAGTTGAACAATTTAAACAATTAGCCCCAATCTTTCAGTTCGAGAGCAAAGTTATCTTCCTTCTGTAGCAAAAAGAAAAAGCAATTTTAAGACTGGCAAGTAATGGTTCCCTTCCTAAACTTTGTTCAGATGTACGTACCCAACTCTGAATACAATTCCTATTAACACTAATAGGATTCATGCACACAGAAGGGATAATATAAATCCTGTTCCTAAACTGCTATATTTCCATCAACATAATTTTAGTGTGTGTATACAAACAGGTTATTAGTGTCTTTGCAAAACTGATTTGGCTAAAGTTATTTTTAGTTTGTGCTCTTAACAATTAATGCTTTTCTCAAGTAACATATAAGCAACAAGTATTTCTTAAAAGGAAAGGATAATCACTTGCAGCAAGTTCAAGCGAGAAAAAATGACCCTCAATTTAGAAACTATTCCAAAACAACACTTTTCAATAGGGAATCACTTTCTAAAATATCCTCTTCCTTGTATAGCCCAAATACCCCACAAATATACCAAGCAGTTAGCGACACAAGCTGATATTAAATGACGCTTCAGATGGTGACTGACAATTCCACTGCATGCATTTTTCTGCATAAGAACAAAATCCACCACACAATAGTAACATCTATTAGGGAGAACATTTTTGCAGCTCTCCTCTTGAAGCAAGTAGTTTCTTAAATGAATTTAACTACATTTTGTTCACAATTTGCTAAGCATTCAATTTGAAGGGGAAAAGAGTGCAAGAATTACTCAGAAACAATATGTGCACACAGATATATTATGCAGCCACAAAAGTCAAAGTTATTTCCTAGTTTCAACATTTCCAGTAGCATTAGCACTTAAATAACAACTAGATGAAGTTTAGATAATTTTAAATTTAATCTTCCGTGCAGTTTACATGCAGTAACACTCACATAGCACCTGGGCTCAGAGATACAATTTAAATAACTTTATTGGATTTCTAATATCAATTCAGGATCGTGATGAAAAGCTAGCAGCTGGTCCTACCTTAACTGTTTTCAATTGTGCAACCAAGCAGAATATCTCAATACAAAATATTTCCTTGGAGGGCCAAATTGTTTTAAGTGAAAGTTACAACTTCCCCTGTCAAGCCATCATCTATAATTTACTTTAAAGTATTTCAATTTAAAATGTAACAACTTGGACCCTCAACTTCCAAGCTGCTTTTTGTGGGACCAGTATGTGCATGCAAGTCCTACTGAAGTCAGTGGGTATGTCTACACTTCACAGTAAGCCCAGGCTCTGACTCAGGTTTGAGCCCATGTGACCCTTCCATCCACACACAAATCAGCCTGACTCAGGTCATCAAGGACTCAGGACCCAGTCCTAGGACCCTGGTAGGAGGATGGGTCAAACCCTGAGTCCTGCTGTGACTTGGGTCCAAACCCTGTCATTTTGCACTGTGGACACAGCTCAAGCCATGGACATGAGTCCAAAGGTCTGAGTATGGACATATCAGCATGGCTGTGAGACCCAGGACCAGCAACAGCAAGCCCAGGTTTACAATACAGTGCACGGGCTTAGAAAAAAGGAGTCCACAAGCCGAGTCCCACTGACCCAGGTTCACAATGCAGCATAGACATACTCAATGAGGCTCCACAAAGACTCAAGAATCTGCCTATGTGGGCCTAATTGGGTACATCTAGACTGCCAAAAAATAAAAAAACCCACCACACATCAGCAAGCCTCGGAGCTCGGGTCAACTACCACACTCACATTAGAGGGCCAAAAAACATCAACATAGACATTCTCACTCAAGCTGGAGCCTGGGCTCTGGGTCTCTCCATCCTCATCGGATATCAAAGCCTGGGCTCCAGCCCAACCGGGAATGTCTATTCTTAGCCCTGTGGTGCAAGCCCTGTGAGCCCACCTCAGTTGCCCAGGCTCCAGGACTCACTGCCAGGGCTTTTTTCCCTTGCAGTCCAGATATATCCACGGACATCTTCAACAAAGTCAGTTACTAATCAAATGTACTGAAAGGAGACATTCATAATATCTGCTTAAAATTGGAAGAGGAAACATATGAAATAACTATCATTGGTGGACAGATTACCAGCATTGACCATGTTAGCTCAACTAGTCACAGAGGTTCAACAAGTGTCACAGAGTCTACAATAAGATTTACAGTAAGCAGTTCCCTCTGGAAAGCAGTAGCTTCAATGTATTCCAGGTGACATATTTAAAAATAAACAAAAACTTTCAGAGTTCTGATTACCTGCTGAACTTCTCTTCCTAAATGCTACCAATAAATTAGGATTTCTGCAATTAGCTGGTCCAATTCAGGGACTATTAATGCCACTACTTAGCTTCCTGAAGATGGTAAGCATCAATATGCACTGTGCAACTGGACCACTTTACAAGCTTTAGAATATGATTTTTAGAAATAACATCCAAGTTTACATACAAGGAAATGGTTCTTATGGAGCTAAACGGCCAGAAGCCTGTGCCCATTTCTGGAAGAGATTTGTTACCACAGACTAAAAATTCATCTACACACAGTTTTTGCACCAATACTGGTTTGAAACCAGTACAACTAAGCAGCACAACCCCCAGGTGTGTAATTAAATCAGTATAACTTATGATGTAGCTTATTCCTAGAAATGTAGAAAAATAAGTTATACTGATATAACTGTGTTCACTTTAAGGGGGTTATACTGATTTAATTATTCCAGTAAAAAGAGAATCACATCCCTAATTGAAATAGTAAAATTGGTATAAAAACTGTGTATAGACCAGGCCCAAGTGTGCAATTCTCCACTGTCCTGCATCTTGCACAATTTCACCACTGCAAACAGTAGAAAATTTAGTACCTTCTGATTTGATAATATTTTGCACTTTGCCCTGCATATAGCATAGGCATTACATCATTGCAATGGAGAATTAGGCTCTAAAAATTGATGTGAAGGCAGTTTACAAAAATCTTAGTAAAACAAGATATCGTAAATCACAGATGGAGCTCCCTCAGACACTGAAACAGAAGAAGAAGAAAATGTACTCAGCTAGATGTTGATAGAATGCTGAATAACATCTGAAATTGTCACTGAAACATAGGTGGCTCTACAGGCACAAACATCATTTGAACCTTTTAAACACAGAGGACAGATAGTCCAACAGTTATTACAGCTAACTTCATAAGAGTTAAAAAAAAGTAATCCTAAATAGTCCAGCGAAAGGAAGGTTACCTTTCTGTGCTCAACTCTGAGAAAGTGGATGGCATTTTTGCATCTGTCAATTCTGATTCTTGAGAAATTAACAGATAGACAAGCACCTACATCAGCTCCTCCACATCCTAACTCCTGCTATTATGCATTCTTATTACCATATACAGAAACACCAGAATAATTACATTTTGAAAGCAACTACCCTGAAACATTGATTATCTAACCCCAGCTACCAAGGACGTTCTTTAACAAAAACAGGGTTGTGTCCTTGATGTCTATCACATTGAATTTTCTATCAATTATACAAACCTATATCATCTCAATTCATTCAAATGTCCTTAATGACGCCTGGATGAATTCAACTGTACTGTATCTAGTTTTCTTCAGGAAATTTAATACATGCAGTAAGAGGGAACAAAGGCTTTAACCTCACTTACTCAAATGCAAAGAAGAGTCCACTGGTGACCAAGATGAGAACCAGAGTCAGGTAGAAGACTCCAGTCTGCCGGGCCATCATGATCCTTCCGTTGCAAAAGAATTTGTTTCTTCCAGGGAAAACCTCCCATTTTCTCTTGGGAGCTGCTTTCTTTTTTTGATGGGGAGACTCCATGGGAGATGAGGAGCTGTGTGTGCTGATCTGACTGTATTCACAGTCTTTCATGGGCCCACTACCACCTCCAGGAGTCATCAAGGGAGTGTAATGAGGGAAACACCCCCAAAACAAAGATATTCTTCTGACCAAGATAATCCTCCCCACTAGCCCCAATTTTTTTTTTTAAAAAAAGGCAAGTTTATTACCAGAATGGTAGTAAATGTATCACACAAGCCCTGATTAACTCTTGAGAAACCAAAGCTGTCATACTATAAATGCTTGGGAGGTATTCCTTCCCTCCCCACCAAAATTACGAACTGATTTAAAATAGTCTTTTATGGTATAAGAGCAATTTATCACAAAACAGAAACCAGAAAAAAATTACAAAATAAATTGGTTGACCACAAAACTTAAAAAGTGTTCATCTTTAATGGAGTGGTTGTTCTTTCCTCAAAAGAGCACACCCTCAGATTTCTCTGGGGATCAACATTTTGGGTAAAAAGAGGTTCACCAGTTGAGTCTCTCCCATTCAGAGAGATTTGTTATAATACTCCTTCAGGCAGCAGGTTTTACCAAAAAAAGAAAAATGTATATTCCTAAGAGAAAATCCTCCCCACCTCCTCAAAGAGACACCACATAAGGCAAGCACACACAAACCCAGCTGCAACTCCGGCTTTGGAGAAACACACTGTAGAGGGATTTCTTCCGCCTGATTCAATGCAAAGTGGCTGCTTTGCCGCTGTTTCTTCTTGTTCGTCTGGGGAGGTGATTTTTTTATCGTTGATCTGACGAAGTGAATGTTTATTATTTTCTATTTTCCCCCTCCATAAAACTAAAAAATGTTCGAGCGGAGAGGAAGCAGAGTCAGTGCCTGTCCTTGGCAGAAATGGACACCGTTGGAGCCAGTCCTCATCCTTTTCATACACACATAAAAAGAGAAAATTCTCCTCCTCACCCCTGGCTTTTGGGCAGTGGGCGGTGTCAGCGTCTGGAGGTGTGTGGGTGGCGGTTTTCAAACCCAAGTCCTTCTAGACAACAGGTACGCACCGTTTCCTCATGCCGTTGCTCGGGCTCAATCCCGCGTGGCAGCCGGTTTCTGCCACCCCCCAAAAGAGGACTCACTGCGTGTAGCATATGTCTCTCCGCCCAGGACTCTTCCTCCCCATCGTCTTCTCCACACGGAGCCTCCCTTCCCCGACACCTTCTCCCACCGCCTCTGAGGCAGAAACGGCTCCGTCAGACGCTGTGGGGACACGGGCTCCTTCCCGCAGGGCAGAGGGGCTGCTGGGTCCCACCCCGCATCCTGACACCTCCGCGCACAGGGGCGGGCGGGGGCTCACACCGCCCAGCGAACGACGCCCCGCAGCTGCCGCGGCTCGTTGCCAAGCCCAGGTGAGAGGAGCCCTGCGCACGGCGCAGCGCGGGGAGCGCTCCGCTCCGTTCCCTTCCTCCGGCTCTGCCCTTAGCCGGGCTTGGCCCCGGCAGCCAGACCCAGCAGCGGCAGCAGCCACCTCTTCATCTTCGGCGGGGGGGTCACAACGGCTGCCGGTGCCCAGGGGGCACCAAACCCCTCCCCAGCCGCTCACGCCTCCTGGGGCGGAGGGAGGGAGCCCGACCCCCGCTGCTGCCCTCGAGCCGGGGCAGGGCTCGCCCAGCTGCTCGCCCCTCGCCAGGCACCGGCTGCAGCCCCCGGGATGGGGCCCTGCGCTCCCCGCCTTAGTCCGGCAGGTCCCTCCCTTCTCTCGCCGGCTCCGTCTGCGGCCCCCGGCGCGCCCCGTAACACCGACGCCCGGCAGCCCGCAGCGTCTCCAGCCAGCCCCAGGCGGCAGCCGCCCCCTCTGCCGGCTGCCAGCCGCAGGGGCCAATCAGTCGCGGAAACCCGAGAGAGGAAGGAACCCGCCGCCAATGCCCGGCCTGCGCTGAAGGGAAGGGCCCCGGTCCGCTGGGAGCTGTAGTTCCGCCCCCACCCCTCCGCGCCGCCCGACACGGGGAGGGAAGCGGTGCGGGGAGAGGCAGAAGGACTACAACTCCCAGCATGCCGTGCTGCTCTCCTGTGGCGTGTATGAGGGAGCCGCCGTGTGTGCTGAGGTGGGTGCTGGGGAGAGAATACAATTACCTCTCCTGGTTTATAACTTGTAAAACAATAAAAGTCTTCTATCCTGAGCCTTGATGGGATCTTCCCACCCAGACACGCCTTGTCCGCCCCCCTCTAATGACCAATCACATTCTGTTTCCAAACTGAACTCTGCCCCATCTTCCTGGTTCCACCCCCCATTTTCTTGGCCTGTTGCTATTGTTTATTATTTAATCTTTCTATTAGGATAACGCACAGAGGACCCAACTGCAGTTGAAGACCCATTTTGCTAAGCACTATACACGCATGTAAAAACAGCTAATGACTCTATCCTCTTTCCTTGCACTTTCCCACCTTAGCCATTAGTTACTTCCTATCCTTGGAAGAAACACTGACCAGTGCCCAACACCCTCAAGCCATGGCTAAAGAAGGAGCCAGAAGATGCTGTTCCCTGTTCCTTATGTTCTTCCTCTCCACCAATCTTGTTTCCCAGCTGTCGCTAAGCCCTGTGGCTTGCTGGCATTCCTTGTTAGGCTGGCAGTAAGAGTTTACTCAGACAACTTGACCATTATAACAGACCACGTAATCCCCTTAGGCACTGAAACTGATCGCTCCCCAAAAGCAAGTTGGACCCTAAATGAATAGGGCTTCCAAAAAACCTGATCCTGCATCTCACCATCTTCGTGCATTAACCAGCATGACTGTGGTGTGCAAGACATTTCTTTTGCAAACTTGATGACATCCCTCATCAGCACATAATAGACACAGCAGTAACATCATCCCCCGCATCTGCCTCAGTTGTCAATACTCTGCATGCTACTTTGCAATTCTGGACGTAGCTGCATTATTATTGTTCTAAGCCTCCATCATGAACTGCTAGTACTTCTCTTACTTTCTCCCTGATCTCAGCACAAGCATATTCAAGCACACACGTGGAGGCAACATTTCTTGTGTTGTACTGACAGGCATTTTTATTCTTCATCAGGCCTTTATTAGCGCACTGCTGGAGAGTTGTCTTGACTGCTTTGATAACGTTAATGATCATATTGTGTGTAATTGCATGTTATCTCTTGGGAAAGTTGTATAATATCACAGGCACAGTGGAAAGAACAGCTAATGTATGTACAGTTTTAATTGTTAGCTATATCTCTGCATGCAGGGCGAGGAAATAGCTTGTACATGCCCATACACCATACTGGTGCCTCTTGCAAGCTGCTGTCTTGTTCTATAGAATCTCAGCTTTAATTTTTTTTCTTAAATGACCTCTTAAACTGTTATGGTTGCGAAGAAAACCTCAAACACATAAAACAAGTGTAACTACCTAAGAGCCACCCAAGTCTGCAGAGAGTCTGTAACAATAGTTCCATTCATCTCAGTGAGGTGTTAACTCAGATGCCCAGCTATGATCATTTAAGATGTCAACATTGTGCAGATCTGTGATCATCCCTCTCCTTTCGTGAGGAATAACATAATCTACTATGAGTGATGTATCATTCTGGATTCACAAGTGTGTGGTATTTGAAGATACTACTACGTATGTTTTTAACTCAGTTGAAAAGGAATCAATCCCAATTTGCCTTGCAGAGCCTATGGGCCTATACAAGCCCCACTGAGGAGAGGAGCCAAGTTCAAGAGCTCAGAGAACACACACTCAGTGGAGTTAGAGAACACACACAATCATATTTAAACAACAGCAAAATACACTGTGTGCAATGTCTCATTTTGATAATTCCAGTTGATGGAGCTTATTTTGTGGGTGGAGCTTGAAAGAGTGCTACCAACTTTCTTTTTCCAGTCTAATCTATTTGCATGCCATGTAATATCCTTTTGCAAACACTGTAGGACCTGTCTAAATTCTCCTCAAAAAGTGATTTGTACAGTTCACATTCCAAATAACTTAACATTTTTGGAAGCATTTGTCCTTTTTTTTTTTTTTGACACTGTTAATTAAAATTGGTGTAAAGCATTGTATAGATTAAACCACAAATATTAATAATGAAATTAACCAGAGCAGATAGGAAGGACCTATTCTTTTTTTATAGAACATTGCATGTTCATGTGCTACAATACTTTTTTTAAATTTCTATCTCACTTTTCACGCAGGTTGATGCCATGTGACAGGTAAGCCGGTAGCACAAACACATTATTTAGTTTATAAAAATTGCACTATTAGAAAAATACTAATGTCACTAGAGATGACTATATATTACCCTGTGAGTGCAGAGGTGTCACAAAGGCAGGTCTTTGAAACAAAGGGGAAACTAATTTCCCTAGGTGACAAGTCTCCTCACCTATAAATATTTATCTATTATCACAGCTCGACACTTTCAAATTACCTGAGTATATGTTTCATATATACCAACTAGACTATTTAGGTGGGTAAACACTAGCTGACAAGTTGTGCCCCGTGGACCCAAGGTGTTATTTGTATACCTCACACAGTGTGTTGCAGGACAACAATTTTTTCATTCCAATCAACACACCAGAAGTTATGGGTTAAGCACAGAATTTAAAGGCTTATTGGCATTGGAAGAGAGGAGGAAGAGGGGCTAGGACCATTGCCTATATTCTCACATTACTCAGGCACATTGTCCAAATTTTTTTAACTGAATATTGAAAAACGCATATGACTGAAACCATCTCCTTCATCATGGACTTTGAAAGAACACCTTCAAAACCTGATTTATGAAGCGTGACTGAACATCACATATACACAAGTATGCCAGTTTACATGTTAACAGTGCATATGATGTGAACTGTTCTCTGCAATTTGTGTTTTTCCTTTACTTTTAAACATCAGACCAAAAAAAAAAGGTAACGCCTCTTCCTCTAGCACTGGCAGTCCTGCCTTTGAACCTCCACTGTCCTGACTCTTTTTCAATATCTTATTGGTAGCGGTAGCAGTACCACCACCACTCCCCTTTTTTTTACTGGCAGTTTTGTTGTTCACTTGGGTAGCCACCTCTTCAAGAGAAGATTTTTCTGTCAGATTTTAAACAATTGCATTTTCCATTGCCAATGCAGTATATCTCACAGATTGGATAATAATGTGGAGAACAGTCAAAAAAGTATTAAAATGCACACTGAGAAACAATCTGCAAGGAGCCCCAAAACCAATGAGAGGGTGGTCATAAGTACAATACAATAAATTTAACTAGTTGCAGAAAGCTTTTGAGTGTTTCCCAATCGCTACATTTTTGCAAAAGCAAGTTCTCTAGTAATTTTTTCTACATCACAGTTCCACCACAATACTACACACTCTCCTGTCTCTATGGCAGACTCATTAAGAAAGTGAGAAAACTTTTCTTCAGCAATCTCTGGAGGCTAACCCCAAGTTTTATTTATTACTTGTTATAATCATATCACATGGTTGTTCTTTCAGTTTTGAATCATCAGAAACAGATTGGACTTAAATTTTAAAGATCTAAAATGGCTTGATTTAGAACTAGCAGAAATTTAAGGCAAAACAACTATAGTGTTTTAACCTATAATTTTGGCTTCTGTTATTATGGATCCACTGCTGTGAAGAGAAGTCAGAACCCATGAATAATTCCATCTAGTCCAGCAGAATGAAAGCAGAATTCCACTTTGACAGCAAGAAGAAAAGGAGACGACGACCAACAACTGAAAGTTTTCTGAAACAACCATGTTCCCCCACCCAAAGATTATTCTAAAACTGAGGAGACACAGAACTAGAACAATTATTACAATTTCAGTTGAAGAAACACACATAACCATTGTGTTGATGTGATGTTTTAACCCCATTTAACTTCCTCTCTTGTCCTAACTTCAAGGAAGGAAAACACAAGCTTCCAGTAAAACAAGCCCATATAGAATTCCAGCTAAGCATAGGGAGGAGCCAAAAAGGTAGATCCATACTAGGAGAAACCAAAATTACAAAGGCTATCAGTCCTCATTCTTGGGTGGTATAACTCTCTGGAGTCAGGAAAGAATTCTCCCCAATCCTTTATAGTATATTAGTATAGTACCACTCAAATAGTCACATGAATTATATTTTCTTTTCATCTTCCTATGAACAATCTAGTGTGGGGTATTGCTAGAAGCAGAACATCATTCTAGATGCTTGTTTGATCTGTCCCCCAGAGAAACTTCTAAATATTTCACAAAGATCAGCTATCCTTTTTATTGATTTGTAGATTATAATGGATTCATACTACTCCATCCTCACTCCAGTTCACCAAGCTGTCACTCTTTCCTCATTGAAGTCCCTCTTAAAACCCCGGTTTTTCCATAATGCCCACAAGAAGTGTGTTTATCACTTTAGAGAGAAAAAAGCAAGCATTAGGTCATCTCGATTT